ATGCTATACCAGCTTTCTATTGATTAGTGTTTTCATGGCATAAATATACATTTTTTGACTTCTTTACTTTTAATCTTCCTTTAACTTTTTTCAAAAATATTTATTTTAAACAGCATACAGTAAGATTTTTATCATGTTTAAAAATCTTTAAGTAAATATTTAATGTTATTATTAATTTATTTGGGCTTTCATTTATCATCTTATTTTTATATTTACCCAAATATTCTTTATTTCTTTGTCTTCTTTTGGACTGAGTGAAAATATTTTTAATCATTCCATTTTTTTCCCTGTACAAAGTCTGGAAGTTACACACTACATTTCTATTATTTTGGTAGTTATTATTACAGAAATTACAACATTTATCCTTAATTACTCAGAATCTAACGTAAAACAATAACTTTAATTTCCTCTAACAAAATGCCTGTAAACCAAATCCGTTGCTGTCAGTCAATTCTGACTCATAACTACCCTCTAGGACAGAGTAGAACTGTCCCATAGGGTTTCCAAGCAGCAGCTGGTGGATTCAAACTGCTGGCTGTCTTGGTTAACAGCCAAGCTCTTAACCACTAGTCATTAGAAGACGTTCATTCAATTTACCACCTTCTCAACTTATACATATTTTAAAATATAAAAAAAAGTTTTGTTTAGATTTAGCCACATATTTATTACTTTCTTTGTTCTTTATTCTTTCTTACATAGCAGAGCTTCTAGCGCTCTTAAAATTTTCTACCTCCTTAAATTGTTCCATTAATGTAGTTTGTATTTTTCTGAAGGTATTATTTTGCCTCATTCCTAAAAAAAAAAATCTTGGTGTAGCACTTTAGATGAATTTATTTATTTATTGTTTTAGTACTTTTAATATTTCATTCCACTCTCTTCTGGCTTCTGTTGCTGCTGTTGAGAATCTATCCATTAATCTATCATTCCTTTGAAGCCTCTGGTTCTGCATCTGTAGATTCAACCATTTGCAGATGAGAAATATTCAGGAAAAAAATTTTTAAAAAGTTACAAAAAACAAAAATTGAGTTTGCTGTGCGCCAAGCATTATGCTGAATTCACACGAATAAATTGTTGATGTGTACGCAGGCATATCCTGCTGTAGCCTCCCTCCATTTCACAGATCCTCAGGCTTTCTCCAACACTTTTTGAGCATTGTTCACCTCGCTTCTTGTTCCTTTGCTAATTGTGTGCACCCTTTGTATCTGTGAAAAAATGGCTCCTAAACAGCAATGAAGTTATCAAAGCAATCCCTCAAAGGCGAAGTGTGAGGGAGTTGAGGAGAGCTAGGAGTTTAAGGCTAGCAAGTGATGGCTGGCTAGCTCTGTAAAGCGCTACAGCCTCCAGAACTTCAAGCTCACTAGCGAATTGGCATCGGCTGATGCCCAGGCAGCATCAGCGTTCCCAGAAGAGCACAAGAAACTCAGAGAAGATCAAGGCTACCTTCCAGAGCAAATCTTTAATTGTGATGGAACAACATAGCATTGCCATTGTATTAGATATCATAAGTAATCTAGAGATGATTTTAAGTATACCGGTGGATGTTTGCAGGTTATATGCAAATACTACACCATTTTATATAAGAAACTTAAGCATCTGTGGATTTTGGTATTTGCTGGGGTCCTGAAACAAATCCTCCGCATATACCTAGGGAAGACCGTAATCATTTTTTTTCTCTAGTTGCTCATAATATTCTTTCTTTGTCTTTGGATTTCCACCACTTGTCTATGACATGTCTACATACGGATGTATTTCTATTATTCTTCTTGAGATTTACTTATCTTTGTGAACCTCTAATTGGACGTTTTTCATAAGTTGTTTGTTTGTTTTGAAATCTCAGCCATAATCTCATTAAATGATGCCTGTTTTCATATTCTGTTTCTCTTTTCCTTCTAGAACTCCAACTGAACACGTTTGACCTTATTTTTGACCTTCTTATTCCACCATCTCTGTATGTTTTATCTTTGTGCTTCTCTGCGCTACATTAATGACACTTTTTCTGACCTATTTCAAGTTAGTAATTCTTTCTGCATCTTTGTCCAATCTGTTATTAAAGTCGTCCACTGTGACTGTAAGTTGATTACAGTTTTCACTTTTAGCAGTTGTATTTCGTTATTTTTAAAAGTTATGTCATTTTTTATAGTTTAATGTTCCCTGCAGCTATTTTAAACTTTAAAAAAATTTTCATTAAAGATATTAAGGATAATTTTGTAATAGTCTTTATTTAATTATTCCAATAATTAAAGCCTTTTGGTCTTGTTTTATTGTCCATTGTTTCTTGGTCAAGGTATCTCATTTCTTTGTGTGCTGATTTATCTTTGACTACGCGCATGTCATTTTAATTAAAAATAATTCTTAAATATAATTATGGTTATTTCCTCCAGATATGCATTTGCTTCTGCCAGGTACCTCAAGGCACAGTCCATAAACACATTAATGCAAGTTCGAAGTTTAAGATTCCCTGAAAAATTAAGGTAATTCAAATCTTTCATGCAACTCCTTGCAAAGACTGGCCCACTCTCTCCCTTGTTATTTTGAGGTTATAGACTTTTTAGGTCCCAGTTTATTGTGCGGAAGGTCTCAGATCTGCTTGTGTATCTTGGTCTTTGATTTCCATACCCCTCACCTTATATGATCATCAAAGCAGAAGTTCAAATTTTGTGAGTTTAGATCTTTCATCCACCCTTACCCAAGCCTTATTAAGTATAAATGAATAAGCAATCCGGGGATCTTGGAATCGTTTTGAGAACCCCTAAAATTCCAAAGGACTGAAGCTCTAATCACAGAGGGATGGAAATGGGAGTAAGTAGAGAGCCTCCTGCTGTCATGCATTATTGGGGATATTGTTAAATTTAGTGGGTTTAGAGTTCTGGGACAAAGTGCGCAAAACCCCCCTCCTAGTTGCCCTGGGTTCCTGTTTCTGCTGTCAGCCCTGACTCAGCAGCTGTTTGGGGGATCATAGTGTTTATTTGGATTATTCTCTCTTCACCCAGTTCACTGGCAGTTGACGGGGAACCTCTTGGGCAGCTTAGGGTGATGAAACCTATCACACCAGCAGGAGAATGGGACTGTGGATTCTCAATCTCTCCTCCCCTTCCTTCCTCTCTTCGGGACTAAAAATCCATCAGGAGGAAGCACAAGCAGTAACTGACCAAGCAGCCACCCAGGGAACATGCAGCTGCTCCTGCTCCTGTTGGCCTTTCTTCTATCCCCCGGGGCTAGAGCAGGTGAGTGACCACCCCCACTCCAAGGTCTAAAGCCCTTCTTAGGTGTCTCCAGGTAGCCCTGGTCACATCCTCAGACACGTTCTGGCCTTGTTTCATTCCAGAAACTTTCTGAAGTCTAAAGCTGGATAGATAATCAGTGGGAATGGAAAGAAGTATTTTCCCTTGAAGGCCAAGTGGGTTTTCTCCCTCCTCTGGGTCATGTCCTTGTCATCTAAGAATAGTCATTTTCTAGAAGGTCACAGGATTCTGGTGAAAGGACGGAAGCTAGAAATGAGAAACAGTAAAACCCCTTCTTTCTCCAGTCCCAGGAAAACATGCTCATAATGGCACGGTGGGAGGTATCTCTGTGTTCATATGAGGACACTGTTGCTTATTGCAATTTTCTGCTCTTCCCTAGTCTAAGTCTCTCAGCTCTGCTAGGACAGTAGCCCAAGGCCCATTTAGTCCCAGATTTGGTGAGCTCACTGACCCAAAGGCCCCTACTCTCTCAGTGCAAAGACATTCCTAGTTCACTTCTCAACTCTCCTTGCATGCTAGGTCTTTGGTCACACTAATTTTCCCAGATAGATACCAATGGTTTAGGTAAGTTCAGTGTACAGAAGCCCTGCCCTTCCCTTTCTTGCCCTCTCCCACCCCACCTAACAACAAATAACCACTATATAGTTGTCAGGGGCATAGACTCTGAATCCAGTCTGCCTGGCTACGGCTATGAATCTGCCTTGGCCACTTTCTAATTCTGCATCCTTAACAAAGTTATTTAAATTCACACTTTCTCAGTTTCTTCATCTATAAAATGGGCATAATATTAATACCTACCCCATAGAGTTTCTATGAGGGTTAAATTAGTGTACATAAAGCCCTTGGAATAGTGCCTAGCATGTAGTGAGTGCTATATAAACGTGCTGTATAAATTCACTCTGCAGTCCTAGTGTCAGAGCCTAGGAGATAAGGATACAACAATAACAGTCCCATCAACTCATGTCCAGATCCTTAGAAACCAATCCCCTGCTGGCCATGAGCTGGCAATACCTGGACTCAGAAGGATCAGGATCTGGGAAATTCCCTGAGGAAGAAACTACCAGAAAACTCCAGGGAGAGTCCATTTCAGAGGCTTCCAGATTTCCATCCTGACAGTAGATCAAATCTCCTCAATATGTGATGCTGAAGCTGGCCTTGCCTAGACCAAGGACCGTGCTGCTTTTTTTTTCAGGAGGTAGGGGGAGCAGGTCTGGGACAGAGGCTGAGTATCCCTTCAAGCCAAGTGTTTCCTGCAGAGCCCGGGAGCCCTCTCCCAATGTCTGGTGCCCTGCAGACTGCAGACCCAAGTCTTCACCGCTGATCTCCAACTCCTCCTTCCCCTGCATCAACTCTTCTCCCCACCTCCCCCATCTCATAGTCTTTTTGGAGCCACCAGTCTGGTGCCACACTGCGGGTTCAGCGAGCACAAGATTTATGCCAAATGTTTTCTTCCAGGGGAAATCATCGGAGGCCGAGAGGCTAGACCCCACTCCCACCCCTATATGGCTTATCTTCAGATTTGGACTCCAAATGGTGGCATGGGCGCTTGTGGGGGTTTCCTGGTGCGAGAAGACTTTGTGCTGACAGCAGCTCACTGCCTGGGGAGGTGAGGAGCTCAGGAGCCTCTGGGGCAGCTAGTAACACAGGGCCCAAAAGAGCCCATCAGAGGAACCATCTGAAAGCAGGGTTGTGGCAATGAAAAGGTGAAAAAGAGACCTAGTAAGACTTCGGCAGAGGGGACAGGTCAGTGCAAATGGCACTTCTGAGGAAGAAAGGAGCACACTGATAGAAAATAACAAGAGGTGGAGGTGGGAGGCATGGATTGGGCTCAGTTTAATCTGAGGAAGCAAAATTTAAGGCCACTGTGCCGCTGTAACCCAAACTCAGGGCTAACAAGAGAAGCAGAGGCACAGAGTAGCTCAGCCCCAGGGCCCTCTCATTTCCCCTCAGCTATGTCCTACCTGCTCTGGGCTGTCCACCTATCCTGCAGACCTGGAGGACTGTAGCTTGTGTGACTCACACCGACCTCTAGACCACCTTTCCTTTGCAGCCAAATAATTGTCATCTTGGGGGCCCACGACATCCAGAGGTCAGAAAGTACCCAGCAGCACATCCCTGTGCTCAGAGCCATCCCCCATCCTGACTATAATCCTCAGATCAAGTGGAATGACATCATGTTGCTGCAGGTACCACTCGTCTGACCCTCTGGTCCTCCCACACCTAGTGGGCCCCTTCCAGGGAGGCAGCTCCACTGTGTCCTGGGACTGTGGAGGCGGAAGCAAGGGCATTACCCAAGGTGGTGATAGAGGTGTGGGGTGGAGCTGGAGCTCACACCAGCAGGCCCTGAGCCCTTGGCTGGGGCTCCAGCTAACATGAACACCTGTGCTCTTCCTGCCAGCTGGAGAATAGAACCAGGCGAAATCGAGCCGTGAGACCTGTGGCTCTGCCTCGGACTCAGGCTAGGCTGAGGCCTGGCACCTTGTGCACCGCAGTTGGCTGGGGCCTAGTTGGCCTGAACAGGAAAACAAGCACACTCCAGGATGTGCAGCTGAGGGTGGAGAGGGATGAGGAGTGCAGCATTCGTTTCGATTTGTATACCGGCCAATTGCAGATTTGTGTGGGAAACCCAAGAGTGCGCAAGTCCGTCTTCCTGGTAAGGACCAGGACATCTGCCAACATGGCCCTGGGACAGAGGGGCCTGCGCAGAACTGGAGTAGTGGGAACAGACCACATCCCCATACCCTCAGCCTGGGGGCCAGACCAGAGTGGGGGAGGGGCCCCTGGGGAATGGGAGGAGCATCTGACCACACGCTTACACACAAAGTTTTCCTGAGGTAGGTGAAAGGCCCTTGGCTTGCATCGAGCTGGAGACAGTAAGCATAACCAGCACCTGTAAACGTGACTTTGGTTGGAAATAGAGACAGCACAGTGACAGAAAGCTCCAGAGGCTGACCTTCTGTATCACCTCCCCCACCTCAAGCACAATTAAAGGAGACCCCCTCCTTTCTGAGAGCTTTGGGTTTAGGGATAGGCCTTGGAGTGCGGAGGCCTGGCTAAGTCCCTTTCCTCTCTCTGTCCACAGGGGGACTCCGGGGGCCCCCTCGTGTGCAGCAATGTGGCCCAGGGCATCGTCTCTTATGGAAATCGAAACGGGACTCCTCCAGCAGTCTTCACCAAGATCTCAAGCTTCTTGTCCTGGATAAACAGAACAATGAGACGCTTCAAACAGCAGGGTTAAACTGAGACCCCTCTTGACTGACTCTTCTTCTCTGCGGTGGGGGGGTGGGGGGTGGCAGGTAGGGTGACATAGCCTTAATAAATGTCCATGTCTAGAGTGAAAATAACTGATTTCTTTTTTATTCATTGAACATCATTCAGTATACAACAAACGTGCATCAGGTAGACCTCTGTTCCCATTTCAACTGTTTCCTGCCTCCTCCTCATCCATCTCTCCCCCTGCCTCTGCCCATCTATTAACACTTCACTGTTTCCCAATTATTCGAGATGCCACCTGTATTATATATTAAAGTGGGCTTTTTTATGAAATTTCAATTCTGTCCCTTTTGTCTGCCTGCGCTTAGACACACCGATAGCACATGTTTTTAATTAGACTATGCTTTAATATTTCATAGAGGGAGTCTTTGGTAGGCTTGAGAGAGCCCTTCCATCACTCCCTAAAGCATCTGGCGGAGCAGGGGAGACAGAAAACTGAGGAAGATGGATGGCCTGGAGGAGGGAAGAAACTCTCCTGGGAAAGAGGTCCCACTTTCCTAGCGGAGTTCAGACTCAGTCCTGGCAAAAGAACTGGCTCTAAAAAGTGTGGCAAAGAAAGAGCTGGTTACCTAAACCCAGCATGATATTCTAGATAGCTATTTGTAAAAAAGATACACAGTTGGATCCGTTTCTCACACCGTTCTCCAAAATAAACCTCAAATGGAGCAGGGATCTAAATGTAAAAATAAATAAATTATGTAAGTACTAGAAGAAAGTATCAACGAATTTCTTTATAATCCAGAAGTGAGAAAATCTCTTAACCTTTTTGATATGACTCAAAATCCAAAACCTTTAGAAAAGATAGGTAAATTTTACTGTATTTAAAACAAACAAACAACGACCTTGTGCATGGCCAAAAACAAAACAAAACACACACTATTACTAAAGTCAAATAAAAAATGACAAATTGGGGAGGAGGATTGCAAATTATACCACAGAAAAAAGTGCTAATCTCCCTCATATGTAGGGATTTGTGAAAACTGAGAAGAAACAGGCCAAAGCCAATAGGAAAATGGTCAAAAGACATGAACCAACGGTTTACATAAATAAAAAACAGATGGCACTTTAACTCACATGAAACCATTCAACTCAACATTTGGTTGTTTTTTATTTTGTGTTTTGTTGTTGTTGAGAATATATACAGTAGAACATACACCAATTCAACAATTTCTACATGTACAGTTCAATGACATTGATTACATTCTTCAAGTTGTGCAATCATTCCCACCCTTCTTTTCCAAGTTGTTCCTCCCTCATTAACATAAACTCACTGCCCCCTAAGTTTCCTATCTAATCTTTTGAGTCGCTATTGTCAATTTTTATCCCATACAGATAGCTCTTAAAAGAGCACAATGCTCAAGGTGGACCAAACCAAACCAACCTCGTTGTCCTCAAGTCGATTGTGACTCATAGTGACCCTACGGGACAGAGTAGAACTGCCCCATAGGGTTTCCAAGAAATGGCTGGTGGATTCAAACTGCAGAACTTTTGGTTAGCAGTGGAGCTCTTAACCACTATGCCACCAGGGGTCCTCAAGGCAGACATTTACTAATTAAGCTAAACTATTGTTTGGTTTAAAGAAGACTTAAGAGAGTATTTTTGGTTTAAGATGTAAGGATTATCTCAGGGCAATAGTTCCAAAGGCTCAACCAGCCTCAATGGCTCCAGAAAGTCTGGACTCCATAAACGTTCCATATTTTTAAGGCACTTCCTCTATGTGTTTTAGAAGTGTATATACCTCTTCGCATCTGCTCGTTATCGCCGATGAATTGTGCCAATGTTCATGCACTCCAGTAGTATGCAAGTTCTGTCTGATCATCCACATCTGTCTTCAGTTCTGCAGCATTCTCACCACCATCACTTCACCTATTGCTTGTTAGGGATTAAATTGTGTCTCCCAAAAAGATATGCTGAAGTTCTAACCCCCAGTACCTGTGAAGGTGACCTTGTTTGGAAACAGGGTCCTTGAAGATGTTATCAGTTAAGTGAACATGATGTCTAATCCAATCTGAGTGCTGTCCTTATGAAAGAGAAGAAGAGACACAGAAACATGCTGAGGGAAGATGGCCATGTGATGACTGAGGCAGAGATAGAGTTATGCTGCAGCTGCAAGCCAAGGAACTCCTGGGGCTACCAGAAACCAGGAGAGACAAGAAAGGGCCCTCTAGAGTCTTCAGAGAGAGTATGGCTCTGCCAACACCCTGAATTCAGACTTCTAACCTCCAGAAATGTGAAGGAATACATTTCTGGAATGTAAGCCACCCAATTTGCAGTACTTAGTTAACAGCAACCCTAGGAAATTAATACATTGCTTCTCTTCCCTTGTCTCCAATCCTGTCTTTTGCAAATCTGATCAGATGTATGTTCGGGTCTCTTTCTACCCAACATTTCTTGTCACTGTTCTGAATTCAAACTTCTAAGACTCCAGAACTGTGAAGGAAAAATTTTTTGCTATTTTAAGCCACCCACTTTGTGGTAATTTGTTTCAGCACCCTAGGAAACTAAGAATACCTGCTGCCATCAAATTGACTCCAACTCATTGCAACTCCATGTGTGTCAGAGTAGAACTGTGCTGCATAGGGTTTTCAACCTTGGAAACCCTGTGGGGTCACTATGAGTAGGAATTAACTCAGCAGCAGGGGGTATAGGCATTTCTTTCTGCAATTATTTGCCTAGGGTTCTGGCCAACTTTCTATTAAAAGAAAAAATAAAATGATTTGCTTGCTTAAAAATAGCTAACATTCCTGTGTGCCAAGCACCATGCTTTAAATGATGTATCTTCATGACATCCCTTGGGAACTAGATTATTATGATTCCATTTGATAATGAAGACACTGAGTTCAGAGACATTAACCAACTTCCCAAGGTCAAAGAACTTAAAAGTAGTGGAGGTTAAATTCAAACCCAGGCAGTCTACAGCCAAAGTCCTTGTCCTAAACCACGACACCTTAGCAACTCCCACTGTCCTATAAACCAAAGTTTTCGTTTTCAATATGAGGAGAGTCTGCTTAATGCTTTTGACACTTTAAAGTTCTACAAAATTTCACACAAAATGCTAATGAAGATAACAAGACTTTTGTCCTAAAGATTAGCCCATGCCTGTACACATAAATAGTATATTCAAGTAAAAGATCACTGAAATCAAGTAATTTAAAATCAACACATAAAGCCATGCTTTAAATGCCTTCTTAAAGTAACTGTAAAGAATCAGCTGGGAGGTTTTTCTGTGCATATCAAATTGTTAATTGGTCCTTTTGGTGTGACATTTACTATCTGAACTTTTGCAATTTCTATAATTTTAAATAGAACAAACACCGAACAGATATTTTGTCAAATCCAACTGGCTATGTTCAGAGATATTTTGGTAAAGTTGACCGTATGTATATCTCTTATCAGAAAGTCATCTGTTAATATTCAGTGTAATCCGTTTATCAACAAAAATTTAATTAATGGTATGTCTTTGACAATACCTCATTCTCTCTATATTTGCTACTGCCTGCTTACCTATAAGAATTATTTATTACTTGCATTCTCTGGTGGGTAACAGCCTCATTATTGTTTTCATTGTCAAATGGGAAAAATACATGATGAAAGGAAGGGGGAAAGAGAGAGCAGTGAAAGAGTCTTCCACTGATCCTCTCCTGTCTTATATTTACTCAGAGCCCCAGAGCACTGCCAAGTCTCAGGAAGAGTCTCACTTTCATTTCTTTCTCTACTAGTCAGCACTTCCAAGACATCTCTTTCCCTCTAGCTGCAGTGCTGAAAAGATTGTATAGACTGGAAGGTACTGACCTCCAGAAGACAATTCACTTTATGGCCATCCCAAAAGTCAAATCCACCAGTCCTCTGTCCAGCTCTGCACTCTTTCCTATTAAGTAAGCCTAAGCAGAACTTTGGCAAGAAATTGTTTTCATTTTTTTTAAATTGTGGTAAGTATATATATAACAAAACATTTGCCATTTTACCCATTTTAAGTGCACATTCAGCAACGTTAATTACATTCACTATGTTGTGCAACCATCACCACTATTTCCAAACGTTTTCCATTACCCCAAATAAAAACTCAATACCCCTTGTCTTAGTTATCTAGTGCTGCTATAACAGAAATATCACAAGTGGATGGCTTTAACAAAGAGAAATTTATTCTTTCACAGTTTAGGAGGCTGGAAATCCAAATTCAGGGTGCCAGCTCTAGGGAAAGTTTTTCTCTCTGTGTTGGTTCTGGGGGAAAATCCTTGTCATCAATCTTCCCCTGTTCTCCAGCTTCTTAGCGCAGGAACCCGGGTTCCAAAGGACTCGTTCTGCTCCTGGCACTGCTTTCTTGGTGGTATGAGTTTCCTCTGTCTCTCTGCTTGTTTTTCTCTCTTATATCTCAAAAGAAATTGATTCAAGATACAATCTAATCTTATAGATTGAGTCCTGCCTCCTTAACATCATAGAGGTAGGATTTACAACACTTCGGAAAACCACATCAGATGACAAAATGGTGGACAATCACACGATACTGAGAATCATAGCTTAGCCAAGTTGACACACATTTTTTGGGGACACAATTCCATCCATAACACCCCATGAGCAATAATTGCCCTTTTTCTCCTCTCCTCAGCCCTGGTAATCACTAATAAACTTTGGTCTCTATTTATTTGCCTATTCTAGATATTTTATATAAGTAGGATCATACAATATTTGTCTTTTTGTTTTGACTTCTTTCACTCAACGTAATTTACTCAAGGTTCATCCATGTCATAGCATATTTTAGAAATTTGTTTTTCATTTTTCTGAATAATTTTTATTTTTCAGTGTTTCATTGTGTGGATATACCAATTTGTGCTTATCCATTATTTGTTGATGGACACTTGGGTTGTTTTCATCATTTAGTTATTGTGAATAAGGCTGCAATGAACATTGATGTACAAGTATCTGTTTGTGTTCCTGCTTTCAAGTCTTTTGGGTATGTACTAGTGGAATTACTAGAGCATATGGTATCCAC